AAGGGGCCAAACAAGCAAAGTAATATATAGAAAAGGAAGGGAACTGAAAGGAAAATGTTATATCTGAACAGGCATGTGTGTCTTGGAGTGTGTGTGGGTGGGTGTGTGTGTGTGTGTGTGTGTGTGTGTGTGCTCCTGTTGAACTGGCATGACACCTAAAATAAACTTGAGATGGGGTGTCCTCCACCCACCGATGCAGTCCAAGTATTGTAGAAGCCTCTGGCCATGCCTGTGAAGGAAGGGAGCAGCCACCAGCCTGGGACTGCAAATAGAAAGATTCTAGCCACTGGACATAGCCTGTGAAGGGGCAGTGAGGGCGGTACTCTGTGAAGGTGACTTCTGTAACTGTCCTTCCCTACCTCAGCCTGGCTCACCAGGGAAGTCTCTCTTGTCAGCAGGTTCCTCTGGGGCTGAGGTGTACCATTTCCTCTTGCTTTGGGCTCCCTTGTCCAAAGGCTCCCAGGCTCATCCTCAGGACCTAGGTGGGTCGCAGATGGGAGAGTATGCAGGTGTGATATTCCAAGGCTGTAAATAAGTTACCACTGAGCAGCCTGTGGTGTCTGTTTCCCACCTAATACTCTGGCCCCATTCCAGGGCTTTCATTATTTAGTTCTTTTGTTTGTACCTGTCCTGAGTTCGTACAGTTCCAAGCAAGTCTGGTCCTCCCCTTTCTGTTTACACCGGAACAAGCTGAGCTGCACAACAGGTGATGAGTGGAGACAGACAACCATGGATCCACCAATCTGTTCTTCCATAGCTTGGATCTTGGCTAAGTTACAGAACCTTTCTGGACCTCTCTCATATTTCCTGGATCTGAATCTTAGTTTTGCCACTCCCTTGCCAGGAGTACCTGTGTGGCTCAATTCCCCTGAGCTTGGTATGCTTGTGTACAAATAGGGACACTGGCAGGAACTCTACAAAGGGCTTCTGGGAATGATTAAAAAAGGCAGGCATAAAGTGCAGTTCCTATATGAGATCTCACTGTGGTGGTCATTAATGACTGCCCAATTATTTGTTTCCTTTTTTAAATAATTTATTTACTTGTATTTTATATACATTGGTGTTTTGCCCACATGTGTATCTGTGTGAGAATGTCAGATCCCCTAGAACAGGAGTTACAGACAGTTGTGAGCTGCCGTGTGGGTGCTGAGAATTGAGCCCAGGTCCTCTGGAAGAACAGCCCGTGCTCTTAACCCCTGAGCCATCTCTTCAGCTCCAGATTATTTGTTTTCTGTGGAATTTAAGATTAAAGTCAAGAACCTTCTACCATTGAGCCACCTTGCTCCTAGTCTGTAAGACAGGGCTTTACTATGTAGCCCAGACTATTATCAAACTAAGGATCCTCCTATCTTATCTCCCATGTTCTGGGACCACAGGTATGAGAGCCAAATAACTTGGTCCAGTGCAAGTACAGCTTCTTCATTCTCCCGTGGTAAGGTCCTAGACAAAGGCTTTTCATTTTTTTTTGTTTGCTTTGTTTTTTGAGACAGGGGTTCCCTGTGTAGCTTTGGCTGTCTTGGAACTCACACTGTAGACCAGGCTAACCTTGAACTCAGAGATTCACCTGCCTCTGCCTTCTCAGTGCTGGGAGCAAAGGCATGGACCACCACCATCTCCTTTCATTCTCATATTAGGGATACTGAGAAAACTTCTGTCTCTGTCTCTGTCTCTCATGTGTGTGTGTGAGCATGCATGTGTGTGTGATACACCCATGCTACAGTGTGTGTGTGTGTGTGTGTGTGTGTGTGTGTGTGTGTGTGTGTGATGTACCCATGATATAGCATATGTGTGTGGAGATCAGAGGAGTCAATTTCTTCCTCCCACCTTTACACGGATTTCAGGGGTTGAATTCAGTTCATCAGACATGTGTCTACCTGTTGAGCCATCTTGCCAGCCCAGGAGCCTTATCTTAATATCTAGAAGACAAATGTTGTCTGATAGCCAATAGAGGGGTTGAAATTATTAGATTAACAAGATACTTGCTTGACTCCCTTCTCAGGGTCACACCCAAGCCTGCCGAAGCTTCTTTCACCTGCTGGTCCCTCTGGATGTCTCATCTCTCAGCTAGCCTGTGATGATGGGGAACATGGTATCCTTTTCTCACTTGTCTGGATCAGTTCAACACTAGCCTATCTGACACCCCCAGCTTTGAACTTGAGGTAGAAGGAGCATGGCAGCTATTGGCTACAGTAAAGTCAGTGTCTCCCTACCTCCTACTGATGGTATAAGTGGGTAGAAGTGGGGCCTTGGCAAAGCGGCACATATATCATGCCTGCTATTGGCTTGTCTGGTGCACTGTCTGCCCCTCCTACACACTGGAGGAGCCAATGGTAGAAACAGAATGCCAACAGCAGTGAGTCTGGCCACTGCAGAGCATGGGTGTGCCTGGGGCCCTTGCCAAGGCTCACATCTCTCTATTGGAAGGGGCTGAGGATGGGTGGGGAAAGCTTGTATCATTAGAGGGCTTTCCTACAGTAGAGATACAAACTGGCCTCATCCTGGTCCTTGAGACTAAAAAAAAAAAAAAAAAAAAAAAAGGCAATCTGATACTGCTTCAAATCAACAATGCTGACATCAGGGAATAGCTGGGCACTTGTTCTCTGGGCTCAAAGTCATCCCTGAGAAGGCTAGAGGTGGCATAAGGAATGGCTGGGACCCTGTCAGTGTGATTGTCAATCCTGAAGGGGGATTCAGGACCCAGAGGCTATTGTATGACAAAACTTTTTCCTGGAGAAACACACACACGTATCTACTCTCCCCAGATAGTCAGCCCAGGAAAAACTAAAGTGCCCATACCACCAAAGTCCAACTTGGTGAAACATAAGTTTTATTGGGGTCACTTACAGGAACATGGGTGAGGAGTTACTTCCAGGAGCACAAATGACTCAAAGACAGCTGCATCACCAAAGGCCACCCCATGTTAGGTGACAGTTCACAAAAGCTGAGAACCTGGAGTACACTGCACAGTTTTCCAGTAGCTCAACAGGGTGGAGAGTGTCCTTCCCACGTGACTCAATTGGCCTAAACCTACTGGTCTCAGGGTCTTTTTTACAGCTTGTCTTGTCTAGAGGGACTTGGCTTACTCTGGCAGATAGAGGCCTAGTGAATCTGGTCAGACACAAGGACTTCCTGAAGCTGTTTTGAATCGTTTACCTTCCTGTTTAAAGACCTTCCCTGCAGGACGGAATGCTTCAGTCTTGTTAAGTCTTGGAGGAAACTGTACACAATAGGGGACAGACCCTGACAATCTCTCTCTCTCTCTCTCTCTCTCTCTCTCTCTTTGGTTTTTCAAGACAAAGTTTCTCTGTGTAACATCCTTGGATGTCCTGGAACTTACTTTGTAGACCAGGTTGGCCTGAGCTCACAGAGATCTACCTGCATCTGCCTCTTGAGTCCTGGGATTAAAGGCGTGCACCACCTGACAATTTCTGTAGTTTACTTTTCTTTTCTTTTTCCCCTCAGAAAACAGAGTTTCTCGGGGCTGGAGATATGGCTCAGAGGTTAAAAGCACTGGCTGCTCTTCCAGAGGACCTCAGTTCAATTCCCAGCAACCACGTGGTGGCTCACAACCATCTGTAATGAGATCTGCCCTCTTCTGCCATGCAAGCACATATGCAGGCAGAACACAATATACACAATAAATAAATAAATCTTAAAATAAAAAGACAGAGTTTCTCAGTAGCTATGGAGCCAGTCCTGAAACTTGCTCTGTTGACCAAGCTGGCCTCGAACTTTCAGAGATCCACCTGCCTCTGCCTCCCGATTGCTAGAATTAAAGGCTTGCACTACCACTATTCAGCTGTAGGTTTCTTGTGGTATAAGAAAGTCCATGGGAGCCAGGCATAGTGGTGCTCACCTTTAATCCCAGCACTTAGTAGTTAGTCTGACCCAGGGGCCAGGCAGACATGCAGACATTCAGCACCCTTGGATGAGGCTGCAGAGTGCAGAGTGCAGAGCCCACAGCTTCTGACTGAAGTGTGCAGCAAGACCCTGAAAGGACAAGGCAGAGCACAGGCCTGAGGGAAGAGGAAGGAGTTCAAGAGAAAGAAAGGGAAGGGTGTTCTAGGTAGAGGGAACAGCATCTCCAAGGCCTCAGAGCCTAGACTCTGTGCATGGCTCAGCATCCTTTCAGTAGAGCTTACGTGGGGCACTGAAAGAATTGATCAGGCACAAAATCATATCTATTTATATACATATGTATGCCCTGTCCTCCAACAGAATGTTAGCAGGAGGGAAGGAAATTTGTTTTATTCTTGGAGCTCTGAAGGGAAGCCAGGGGATGCTGAATAGATGGTGTTGAGTCTGCTAAAGCTGTGTTTTATCCTGCAGTCAGTTGGTTTTGGCGGTTCAGCATACAATAGGAACAGGACCAGGTGTGAACATGGCACTCAGGAGGGTGAAGACTGCCCGTGAGGCCTGGCCAAACTATACTGCATAGTGTGAGTTTCAGGCCAGCCTGGGTTACAGTTTAAGATGTTGTCTTAGTACACAAAACATGAATGAAGGAAAGGAAAGAAAATGCAAAATGCTGGGATGTGGGGAGACTAAAGTCTTGGTGAAGCGAGATAGGCTGAAAAATACTGATGTTTTCATACAATTAACGAGGAGCCTGGCAGAGAAGAAAGGGTAGGCCTTGGGGATAAGGGACCTGGTGATTGGTATGTCACCGAACGAGCTTTTATCTTCAGTTGCCATTTAGTCAGAGCATCTTTCCGTGGGACCGGGGGAGTCTCGCTCCTGCTCTACAGTTAATCCTTCTTTTGCCCCTCTCCAGAAAATACAGTTTAAAAACACAGTATGTCTGAGACAGGCAGTTCCCCCTTTGCAGAAGAGGGAACGAATGGACCCAGCCTGCCTCCTCCGACGTCCAGCATCTGACGAGCATCCCTGCTGAGTCAGCGGTGGCGAGGATTCGTTATTTCCCTCTAGTTCCGGAGGGAAAGCCGGCACGGGGTGGCGATCACCTAGGGTAAGTGGTCGGAGAAGGCAGGGAGGGTACAGTGAGGCTGGAATAGAGAGTTTGGGTCTCTGCGGCCGCCGTAGTGGCAGGACTGCCGTCCCCATGGCAACGTCAAGAAGCAGCGCCAAGCTTCTGGGCGGTGTTGGCGCCTTGGCGGTTCGGACCAAAGGCAGCGCGGAAAACTGTAAACTGACGGTGGCCCTGAGGGTGTAGGTCTGTGGCCGCGTGGCCAGAGGGAGCTGGGACCTGGGGACCGCGGAGGGCGTGGCCCGATCCGAGGGGAGGCGCTGGATCCCGAGACCCCCGCCTGTCTAGCCGCCGTCCGTGGGCCTCAGGTTTCCCACGCAGGGAGAGAGGAGGTTGGGCCTAAGGGTACTCGGTTTTCGAGCCCAGAATCTTCTCTTTTCTGCAGCTCCTGGACGGACTAGTGTTACCCTGCCCCATGGACGTGAGTCCAGTGCTGTACTTGCCTTTGAGCTCTGAGTGGGGAGGGGGCTTTCAATCCAATAAAAACTCCTCTGGCTCTTGACAAGAGCTGTGAGACAGCGCCCGGGATGAACTTCCCGTGAGGTGGCACGTTTCGGGGATTCCAGCCAGACAGTGTGCTAGCAATCAGAGACAGCAAGCGATACAAACGGAGGCCTAGGGGCCAGAGAGAGGAACTGCTTTGACCTCATAGTGATTGCAGGGTACGGGGTGGGGGAAGGAGTAGCCAGGGCCGGGGTGGGGAGCTTTGTCTCTGAAATAAGCGGGTCGAGATGCCCGAGCATCTGATGTGGAAAGAAAGCAAGTTGGTAGAGGGGCCAGCGATGAGGGCTGAGGGGCGGAAGGTTGTCATATACTGGAGTTAGATACAAAAATCTGTGCTGAGAAGTATTCTTCAAGGACAGCAGTATTTCACAGATGAGTCTAAATTGACAGCAGGTAACTTGGTAGTGACATGAGGATGGCAGGCCCGTATTGACCTCTTACCTAGCTTGCCCCTCCTGGCATCCTGTACAGCTCTTGCCCCACCTTCCGCCTACCCCTCTTCCTCTGTGCTTGTCCAGGCCTCCTCTGGCCCATGGAATCCAGCCCCAGCTTCCATCAGCAGCCCTCCCTTGCTGCTCCCCATCCCGGCTATCGTCTTCATCGCTGTGGGCGTGTATTTGCTGCTGCTGGGCCTAGTGCTGCTGACCAGGCACTGCCTGCTGGTGAGGAGCCCCGAGGGGAAGAAAGTAGGCCTTGGGGACGGAAACTGGTGATTAGTATGTCCTCTCACTTATGAGCTTTTATCTTGGGACACTGTTGCCATTCGTGTCTGAGTCATAGGCCATTCTTGGGACCAGGGGAGTCTTGCTCCTTGTCTCCAGTTAATCCTCCCCTTACCCCTCTCCAGAAAGTGAAGAGGAGAGTTGTCTGCCCCTCCCTACTTTCTGGTTCAGACCCTGAGTCTTGTCATCCCCTAGGCTCAGGGCTGCTGCACAGACTGCAGCTCCCCTTGCAGGAAACAAACTACCTCAGAGACCCAAGACTGCTGCTGGAGCTGCGCAGAAGCCTGTGACTTCCCTCTGCCCAGTCCAGCCCACTACCTGGATGCCTGCTGCCCTCATCCCAGCGAAGCTGTGAGTTCCATTCCTAACCCATACAGCTCCTTCTGGTCTGCATATGGCCTGGGCCTTTGTTTTCTCTGTTCAGCACATTTATCACCGAGCACTAGTCATAGGCAGACCTTAGGCCAGGCACTGAGTCATAGGCAGACATCTAAAAGCAACAGAGCAACATATCAGATTGTTTCTGGTGATGAATGGTACTTGAAAGAAAAGAAAATAGAGTGACAGCTGGAGAATGATTATTTGTGTGACATGCCCAGTATATAATTGTGACTTTTTTTTTCTTTCCCTTTTTGGAGACAGGGTTTCTCTGTGGCTTTGGTCCTGAAACTTGATACATAGACCAGGCTGGCCTTGAACTCACAGAGATCCACCTGCCTCTCCTTGCCACCACACCCAGACTCTCTTTTTTGGGGGGCGGGGCGCTTCGAGACAGGGTTTCTCTGTGGCTTTGGAGGCTGTCCTGGAAATAGCTCTTGTAGACCAGGCTGGTCTCGAACTCACAGAGATCCGCCTGCCTCTGCCTCCCGAGTGCTGGGATTAAAGGCGTGCGCCACCACCGCCCAGTCACACACCCAGCCTCCTAATCAGGTCTTCTGAACAAGGTAGCTAAAGAAAACAGGGATGAAGTGAAGTGCTTGCCTAGTGTGGACTAGGGCCTAACTTTGATCTTAACATAACGCCCCGTTCCCTTCATGAGCGTATATTCCAGAGAACAGTATTGTTGTAGCCTCCATACTGTGTTCACCAGCAACTCTGAGAGATGAGGATTTATTTAAATTTAACATTACTTAATTTTTTAAAAATTGTCTTGCATACGAGATGGGCCTTAGATTCCCAGTTGGTCCTCTTCCTTCTGTCTCCCAAGTGTAAGACTTCAGGTATGTAACCACAATATAACTGGCTTAACTATAATCTCTTTTCACTTTTGTCTGTTTCCTTTTTGTTAGTTTAAATTTGTGAGAGGATTCTGTATCCAATGGCCTTTGCAAAGAAAGATGCTTTGGACTTTGGCATGAACCCTGCCACTGTTTCCATGGGTCTGAGTTATCTTTCCCCAGGTTACTCTGGCATTTCAGTTTGCCTCTAGGAGTCAGTGTGTTGTTATTGCTTTATACACATAAGAACATCTCTTGCCCAAGTAGAATTAAATTTCATCTCAGCCATAACCACCTTCAGTTTTAAGAAGAGCCACGTTCTCTCTTTGGTTCTGGAGATTTCGCTTCTAGCCAGCAAAAAAGGCCTTGGACCACAGCCTTCCAAACACATTTGCCTTTTAGAGGTCCAGTTCCCAGCAGGACTCCATAGGTGCCAAGATGATGGGAAGCTTACTTTTATTTTTAAATTAAATCATATTAATTATTAAGCAAGCTGGATTTTTGCTGGTTTGGTTGTCGTTTTGTTTTGCTCTGCTTTTTTTGAGATAGGGTCTCATTAAGTAGCCCTGGCTGGCCTGGAACTTGCTGTGTAAACTAGGCTGGCCTCAAACTCACAAAGATCCTCCTCCTCTGCCTCCCTAGTGCTGGGATTACAGGTGGGTTTTTTGTAATAAAAATGTATATGTAGAAAGGCAAAGTGGTAGAGCCCTCTGTTAGAGTCATAAGAAACAAGGGAAACAGGGAGCAGAGATAGGAAGGACAGGCATTTTCCAGATCAACTCCGTAGAGTTGTCTTGTTTGTGTGTTACCCTCATGCCTGACTGTTACTACCGTGTGTTACTGCCTCCCCACCACATAGTCTGCCTCTTCATGACCATTTCAACTGGACTTCATACAATGGCCCTGTGCCCATGCCTGAGCATTGGAGCTGTACATGCATTATTCTCCTTCTCTTGCAGAGGAGTAAGAAGGCTTAGGCATGGTTGTGGCTTCCCCAGTGTTACACGGAAAAACCTTAGCCAGAAAATTGCTCTGAAGTTTAGGCTCTAATAGAGCCCTCAAGGGAAAAGCTAATCCACAGAAGACAAGTTTTACATTTGTGGGTTTGAAAATGTTCGGTGTGATCAACCACCTTCTTGGACAGGGACTATTTTGGGTTCAGAGATTTAGACAACAGAGTTCCTGTCCTTGAGTGATGACCTTCCTTAGCAGGGGGTAGCAGACTGAGCCTAAGCAAATTCATAACTTGGATTGACTGCACTTGCTACAAATCCCTGTCAGATGTTTTGAGTTTCAAAATAAGAGAGTTGGAGATGTAGCTGAGTTGGTAGAGTGTTTTTGTCTAGTATATAGGAGACACTGGGCTGATTCCCGGCAGCACACAAACTAGGTCCTGATGCCTTCTTCTGGTCCACAGGCGACAGGCATGCATGTGGTGCACAAACACTCGTACACATGAAATAAAAAAAATCTCGCCGGGTGTTGGTGGCGCACGCCTTTAATCCCAGCACTCAGGAGGCAGAGGCAGGCGGATCTCTGTGAGTTCGAGGCCAGCCTGGTCTCCAGAGCAAGTGCCAGGATAGGCTCCAAAGCTACACAGAGAAACCCTGTCTTGAAAAACCAATAAAATAAAATAAAATAAAATCTCAAAAAAAAAAAAAAATCAGAAGCTCAAGGTAAAGCTACATAGGAAGTTCAAGGCCAGTATGGGCAAGCCACCCTATCTCAAAAAATAAGTATGAAGGCTGGAGAGATGGCCCAGAAGTTAAGAGCACTGGCTGCCCTTCCAAAGGACCTGGGTTTGATTCCCAGCACCCACATTCAGACTCAGAACTGTTCGTATCACCAGGTCCACAGGCTCTGAGGCCCTCTTCTGTTCTCCACAGTCATGCAAGTGGTGCTTAGACATCCATGCATACATGTAAGATAAATCTAAAATAAAGAAATTTGAATCTTCGTTGAAAAATAATTATAATAAATAGGGTCTGGCATGGTGGTATATACCTTTAATCCTAGCCTCAGGCGGCAGAGGCAAGTGCCAATTCAAGTCAGTCTGGTCTGCAGAGCAAGTTCCAGGGCAGCTATGGCTTCGTAGTGAGAGGGTAAGCAGCTGTCTTCTTTCAAATAGTCTGCTTCTGGGTCCCCAGACTGACAGGAGGTGGGCTCCCTGGTGGGATGGGGAAAAGGAGACCCTAGGTTCTAAGAGTGCCTATCTTAAGGAGTTACAGGCTGATTCACGGTCCTCACACTCTGTCTCCTTCCTTATCTGTCCACATGTCAGGGATCCAACTTCAGGAAAAGGGTTGAGCTGAGGTTGACTGGGAGAACACATGGTTTCCCACCCATTGATCCACGGCTTCAGAATCTTGTAGATCTGTGAGAAGACTGAGTCTCCCACCTGCTGTTCCAGGGCTTCAGAAGCTCATGGATCTGATCCTGTCCAGTTTATGCTAGATCAAGGAAGAGATGCAGAGTGACCCAGGGCAGGGCAAGCTTGTCCTGTCCTTGATCTGCCTTTCCTTAGGGTACACTGAAATGCCTCTGTTCTCCAGGTTCCCTATAGTGACAATGACAGCCAGAAAGGTTACAGAGCTTGTCTGTTTGGCCAGTGTAAACACTGACGCTCACAGCACACAGAGGATTGAGGGACTCATTCGCCTTGGGTCAGACAGATGTACCAGCCAGACCACAAACCCAAGGTTTTCTTCCTCTCTGTAGGAGAAACCTGCTCACTGAACTGCATTGTTAGGACGATGGAGCGCCTTCATTTCTTCCCTACCTCATGTGTACAGTACACACAGAGCCACCATGTGAGGCTTTGTGCTGACCCTGGAGGCTCAGCAAAAATAAGCCAGACAAGAGTCCTGTGTTCCCAGGGCTTACATCGTGGGGAAGGGCACAGATAAATGCATTCTAGGAGTAGAAGGGGGTGACATGCAGCAGGGTGATCAGAAACAAGTGGGAGCCGTGCATGTCAGGCTCCAAGGCCTCTCACCAGCAGGTCTGGGTGGGATTATAGTTTGTGCTTTTTAACAAGCTCTTGTAATTCTGGTGTATATTAGAATTAAGAACTACCGTTAAGGCTGGGCGTGGGTGGCGCATGCCTTTAGTCCCAGCATTCGGGAGGCAGAGGCAGGCAGACCTCTGTGAGTTCGAGACCAGTCTGGTCTACAAGAGATAGTTCCAGGACAACCTCCAAAGCCACAGAGAAACCCTGTCTCGAAAAAAAAAAATAATAACTTCCGTTAAATCTGGCCATAGTAGCACACGCCTTTGATCCCAGTACTCGGGAGGGTGAAGCAGATGGATCTCTTCGAGTTTGAGGCCAGTCTGTGCTGCATAGTGAGTTCCAGGCAAGCCAGGGCTACATACGGAATGGGGAAAAACAAACCGCAGGGGGAATTCAGAACCATGATGACAAGTGTAGCTCTCTTCACCGAGCCCTCACTAGGGACCTCATTTCTGTGCTGTGTCCATTTCAGAGATGAGGAAACTGAGGCTCAGAACATGATTTAGCCAGGCAGAATTCACACCTGGGTCTTAACTGCTGTAGGGCTTGAGCACTAACTAGCCATTAAAAATGTCTGGCTCTCCCAAAGTCCCAAGTTAAACCCCACCCAAGAACACAGGGGTTGACAGCCTGCAGAGTCCTTGTCTGATGCACTTAAACAGCAGAGTTCTTCCAGAAATCTTTGCTTGTGGAGTCAAGAAATCCATTAGCCAGTTATTAATGGTTGGACTAAATCCTTCCATGAACACAGCCTAGATGCTTTTAATGCCCTCTTTTCTGAGGTAAGGGCAGTGAAGTGTTCTGGCCAGTGGCTCTGCATGATGGTGTGGTCCTCTCCAAACCCACAGACCCTACTTCATCCCTAGAGATGCCCAAACCACTCTTCACACAAAGAAACCACTTCTCTCTCCCTTCCACCATTACAGCCTTCGCCCCTTGTTGGCAGCAACACAGCCCAGTTTAGACCCCTTTCCCTGTAGCTGGCTGGTCTCCTCCCCTTGCTGGAGCCTCTGCTGACAGTTGATCTCTCTGGTCATCTGACACCGTACCCCGAAACCTCAGCTGTTGAAAAGGTCATTTCCCTATTCCTGGCTTGGCCCAGTTTCTGATGGAACTGTGCAACTGTGGCTGTCACTAGTTTTGCTCGTGGCCTCAAGGAGCTGGGCTTCTGTCACACAGCCACTCTGGGTGTGTCCACTCCAGTGCCTTGGCCTGCCTCCCATCCATGCCTGGGGCAGTTGCAGATCATCCCTGTCCCAGGCTAAAGGAGCTGTGGGTTGGAGTGTTGAATGTCCCTTCCTATCTCTCAGGACATTGTGTCCATGACACAGACATCTTTCTGCCTTTGCCTAAAGAGGGCAAAGTGATCTGCTTAGCTTAATTCATACAACCAGCATTTAGCTGTGTCTCAAACACCTGCTGAGCCTGAGCCCTTACACTAAGTAGAGAACACGAAACCAACTGTCCTTGTCGTTGAAGCCTTAGAATGAAGCCAGCATTCCTGGCCTTAGAAGAGTAGGCACAGGGGACTCCCAGGCCTGGGGAAACCAACTCTAATTCAAGTCAGTTTCACTCTGGTTATATTCTTTTGGGCAAATCACCATGAGCTTCCATTTCATTTTTGTGAAACCACCCTCCCCCCCCCATTCCCCAATCAGGGTAGTTCAACAGTAGAGTGCTTGCCTAGAGTTCATGAGGTCCTAAGTTCCCAGCACTTGAGGGAAAAAAAAAAGCCTTTTGTTTTGTTTTTGTTTTTGTTTTTTTGTTTTGTTTTTTGAGACAGGGTTTCTTTGTGTAGCTTTGGAGCCTATCTTGGCACTCATTCTGTACACCAGGCTGGCTTTGAACTCACATAGATCCACTTGCCTCTGCCTCCCAAGTGCTGGGATTAAAGGAGAGTGTCACCACCGCCTGGCTGCCTTTTCTTTTCTTTTGATTTATTTAATCTATGAGTGTTTTGCCTGAGGAAAACCATATACCATGTGTGTGCTTGAAAAAGTCAGAAGAAGGTGTCCGATCCCCGGGAACTTGGGATCTGGAGTTACAATGGTTTTAAGCCACTATGTAGGTGCTGGGAACTGAACTCAGGTCCTCCGGAAGAGCAAAAATTGCTCTTAACTGCTGAGACATCACTTCAGCCCTTGTTTTTTTTTATTTTTTTATTTTTTTTATTTTGTTTGTTTGTCTTGCTTTGTCGTTTAGAGACAAGGTTTCAGTAACTCAGGCTGACTTGAACTTCTTATCCTCCTGCCTTCTTTTCCCCCGAGTACTGGGATTACAGGATCGATCTATGCAATGGTTCGCATTCTGTGGGTTGAGATACCTTTGTGGTTGAACAGGGGTTGCCTAAGACCATCAGAAAACACACTCATAATGGTAAAATTAGTTATGAAGTAGCAACAAAAATAATTTTATAGTTGGGGCTCAGTGCAACATGAGGAGCTGTATTAAATGATGGAGGCATTGGGAAGGGTGAGACTCACTGCTGGTGTGTAGCCCTGGCTGTCCTGGAACTTAGTATGTAGGTCAGGTTAGCCTCAAACTCACAGAGATCTACCTGCTTTAGCACTAGGAATTGAGTGAATTCTATTATAGTCAGGCCACACAGTGAAACCCCATCTCAAAACAACAGAAACCCCAAGTACTTGGTAGGTTAAAGTAAGAGGATTGTCATGATTTTGAGGTCAGCCTTGGTTTCATTGTTCCAGATTAGCCTGAGCTATACAGTGAGAACCTGTCTCACAAAGAAAGGAAGGAAAACATCTTTTTTCATTTTGCTTTTTTGAGACAGGGTTTCTCTGTGTAACAGCTCTGGCTATCTTGGCACTCACTCTGTAGACCAGGCTGGCCTTGAACTCAGAGATCTGCCTGCCTCTGCCTCCCGAGTGCTGGGACTAAAGGCATGCACTGTCACCACCTGGTTTAAGGAAGACATCTTGCAGTTTGGTTTGATGTCAGCAAAGAAGTCCAAACCCAGAAGTTATCTTCATGAGGATGGGATGTGTTTCTTTCTATGTCTTGACTTCCTCAGAGAGGAGAGCAGAACTGTTTTGGAGCTGGACACTGACACCCACATTCTAGCCAGACCTAAAGCTAGTTCTTCACTGGTTCACTCTTCTCACCCACAGAGCCCCTGAGTGCTGGAGCTTGGAGGCTACCGATGTAGGGCTAGAGTACTTATCACTGCTGAATCCTCAACATGGAGAATTGCTTTGTTTCCAGGCATGGTGGATGGTACCCTCTTTTCCACTCGACAGAGGGACCTCCTAAGCCCCTTGTTCCCTTCTCCAAATGGAAGGAAGCAGACCCAAGTCCTGGCACTGCTTCAGGCACCCTTCTTTTCTCCCTCAGGGTTGGGACCCTCGATGCCCTCGATGCTGCCCATTGTGTGACTGTGCCTGTGCCTGCCAACTTCCCGACTGCCAGAGCCTCAACTGCCTCTGTTTCGAGATCAAGCTCAGATGAAGCATGGGGACAGGGGGCTTGTTCTTTGGGGAGTGGCCAGCCCCTAGGGCCCCCTCTGTAATGGCCCTCAGGACAATACCACCAGGCCACTGGAACTACAGCTGGCAGGTCCAGCCTAAATACCTGGGAGTCTTGAATGGAGGGCCTGGTTCCCTGCAGGGCAGGATTCTGAGAGCCCTTGGACAGCTGAATTTCAGCTCCTTTGGAGGGCCTGAAAGAAAAGGGGCTGGTGTTCTGGCCAGTGCCCCTACCCCTCGCCCCCTCCCTCTACTATATATGTGAAGGTGAGGATGCAGGTCATTGCTCACCCAGGCAACAGTATGGGAAGGCTCTGCTAACCTGGAATATCAAAATATAGGGACAGCCAGCTTCACCATGCCTGTAGACTCCCGGTTATTTTACGAGGTGAGTATCCTGCCTGTATTTGCTCTCCTTAAAAAACAAAACAAACAAACAAACAAAAAAAAACGTACAGCCACTAGCAAGCCCAGAGGGGAGGAGTCAGCATCCAGGGACACCCCACCAATCTTCCCTTCTTGCTCTGCCTTATAGATCCCAGACCCGAGAGTGATTTCTCTTGACCACTGTATTTTCAAGGAAGAGGTTCCTCTAAAGACCGGTGAGTGGCCCAGGGGCACCTCCTCCTCTCCAGGCAAACCAAAGCTTCTTCTTTCTTCCCGACTCAGGGGCCCCACGCTGGCATGAATGTCAGGAGCCTCAGGTTTCCCTAAATATAGGTCCCTACCGCGGGATTCGTGGTGGGGAAAGGGCAGGGGTTACGGAGAAGGAACACTCGTGCTGGAGTGTGTAGGGGCGGGGTGGTGGATAGGCGCTGCCTTATAACCCAGCCCAGAGCCGCCGGGCTCACTCGCAGCTGACCAGGCTCTGCCGACTTCTTTCACAGCATTACAGGTGGGCCGCTAGCCAGATTCCAGGAGAGGGATGGGGGGCTGCAGATTGAGGCCTGAGGAAAGTGGGTCCTCTTGAGTGTTAGTGGGTGGCAGAGAGCTTGGAGACGGATTTTATTTTTGAGAAGAAAATCAGGTTCGGGGAAGAGTTTGGCTTGATCCAGCCCCTGTCGATCATTTCCTCAAAGATGGTGTTTAGTTGCAGCGGGTGGTGACTCCCGCCAATCTGCTAGTCTAGCCCGGACAGGCTAGGCCACTCTTCGGTGATGTGACTGGCGTGCTGGTACGAGGAGGCTTTGCTTGCGTACCCTGTTAACTTCGTCGCCCTCTCCCGCTCCTTGTGGGTGGTCGGGCCAGAGAGGGATCGGCTGCGTCGGTAGCCATGCGCTCTGAACGAGGCGAGCAGGCGCAGAACCTCTGGGTTCTTTGCAATGACGTCAGGCTGCCACTGCGCAGGCCGGAAGCATGGGGGTCTTAGGAGGGGAGGCCAGCCATCATTTCAGCCTGACACCCCCACCCCCTCGCCAGCCCACATTCCGGCTGAGTCACGATGCTCGCGCGCTAGCCAGGCAGGAGCTGGGGGAGGGGGAGCTCCGGTGACCCGCGGGATGTGGCTCGAGTCACGTCCTAGCGGAGCGGAGGAGGGATCGGGTTCTGGCCGCTAGTCTCCTCCCCAGCGCCGCCTCCTATCGTAGCATCTTGGGGAGGTGCCGCACACAGTGCCCGCCTGTAATTGGACGCTTAGTGTCCCAGCAAGGAAAAAACCTGCAGAGGGCGGAGCTGCGCCTTTAAATGCCCGGCGCCCCGCCTCTCGCCCCCCCCAGTAGAATAGGCTGCGTTCTTTTGGAACGCGCCGCAGAACCGGGTTCTGGTGACTCTAGCTGCGTTCGCTCCTCTGTCCTTTTGCCTACCCACCGCCGTATCCGGCCGACTCACCCCTCCTGTGCCAGGTAAACGCCATATGACACGTGCGCGGGGAAGGGACCTTGGGGTAGGATTTTGGGCCGGTGGCGGGCCGGGCGGCATTGCGGAGCCTCCATCCCCACGGCTCCTTGTTTTTCCCTTCTCTACCCCCACGCTCGCTCCCAGCCCTGGTTCTCCAGCCCGCGCCCTTGCTGTATGCTGCGCCACGCAGCAGCTCCAAGCGCTGAGTCATGGCGGTGGAGGAAGCAAGATGAGGTGGAAAACCAGACCTCCTCTTGTATTTTTATTTTATTTGCAAGGACTACCCCCTTTGCAAGCATTAGGGGCCCATTGCCTATTAAGGGATCCCAAGAAGCGATGGGTGTGGGAGGGCCAGTTCGTACATTGCCTCAGGGTTCCTCGATGGGGTGAGGGAGTTTGCTTCCTTTCGGGGGAGCCCCTGGGGAGGAGGGGAAACTCCTCAGCTGCCACGCTCTGTGGCCCATTAACACTTCACTATCTTTCCTTATCTTGTGACCTTGATTCTGCCTGGAGTTGCTGCAGACGGGAGCACTTTTCAGGGAAGGGCTGGGGCGCGTGCCTCTCATACCCATTCCCGTTTGAGCAATGTAGAGGGGAAGCTTCCCTTCTACCTGGGCTCCACACCCCTTTCTCTCTTTCTGATTGCCCAGTATTTTTCCTAATATCCTTTTCCTAACACTCTTTGCCCCCCCCCCGCCCTCACTCAGGAGAGACGCCTGACCTTGGGGGTGTCCTTGAAGCCTGGGCCAGCCCTGCGTAGATTACAAGGGATGCCCCACCTCAGTCAGAAAATCTGGGTTCTATCTCAGCTTTCGCCTTTGGGTTGCTGTGTGACTTCAAGCACAGATCATTTCTTTCTTGGGCTCTTACAGATGAGGGTATTGGGCCCTCTGCCCTATTCGTGATCCTTATATTCTAAAATACTCCCGGTTCAATTTTGTTTCTAGGCAAGGTGACGCATGGCAACGCGCAGGCAAGATGGGTCCACCTTCAACATGACCCGCCTGTCCCTGGCTCTGGCCTTTTCCTTTCCCCCAGTTGCCAATGAGCAACTCCACCCTCAGCTGGGCAACACCCAGCAACAGACAGAGTTAGGAAAGGTACAGGAAGAGGCAGGTCTAGTATAGGGAAGTTGGGTATAGGGGAGAGCTCTGGGACAGGAAGTATCCCTGAACCCTCAGGGAGTGGGGCAGGGGAGATGGGGCTACTGCCCTGGCCTCCAGGGGAGGAGTCCTGTTTTATCTGGGGAGACTATTGGATGGCCCAACTAATTGTCCCTGTCTGCCTCCTTCACTCAGGAACGTGCTGTCACCGGCGCCATGCCCTACCCATACCCAGCACTGACCCCGGAGCAGAAGAAGGAGCTGTCTGACATCGCTCATCGAATTGTGGCCCCGGGAAAGGGCATCCTGGCTGCAGATGAGTCCACTGGTGCGGTACAGGCAGGAGAAAGGGGGAGGAGGGCCCGGGGTTGGAGGTGGCAGGCTGATCCCCTTATCCTCCCACATGACCCTCCCTTCAGGAAGCATTGCCAAGCGCCTGCAATCCATTGGCACTGAGAACACCGAAGAGAACAGGCGTTTCTACCGCCAGCTGCTGCTGACTGCTGATGACCGTGTGAATCCCTGCATTGGGGGGGTGATCCTTTTCCATGAAACACTGTACCAGAAGGCCGATGATGGACGTCCCTTCCCCCAAGTTATCAAGTCCAAGGGCGGTGTTGTGGGCATTAAGGTAAGGGCCCTAGGGGAGGTGTAAGATTAGATTAGAGATGGATCTGGGGAGATGGATTAATAGGGCAGGGATGGAATGCTGGGTTAGCAGGTCTAGAGACTTAAGGTATGGTCTGCCTGAGACTTAAGGGGATGCACTCAGCACCCAAGCACTGTGCATGCTAGGCAAGTGCTCAATTGCTGGACTCACAACCCCCTATGATTGTAAGGTGTTTCCTCATTTACAGCTGATAAATTAGTCCAAAGCAGTGAAATGGGGGGCAGTGGTGGTGCACACCTTTAATCCCAGCACTTGGGAAGTTGAGGCAGGCAGACATCTGTGAATTCGAGACCAGCCTGGTCTACAAGAGCTAGTTCCAGGACAGCCTCCAGAGACACAGAAACCCTGTCTTGAAACCACCCCTCCCCCCAAACAAACAAAAAAAAGAGTGAAATGGTTTGCTTAGTGAGAGGTAGTGCCAGTTCCTCTAATTAATATTCCTTTCAAATACTGTGTGTATCTTTCCTCATGGGACTCAGTAAAATATGAGAGGCTGCAGTGAGGGTTGAAGTTGACCTGGGTAGAGGAAAGGGTGGTAGAACTAAATTGTTGCCCTGTACCCTGCCAGGTAGATAAAGGCGTGGTGCCTCTGGCAGGAACCAATGGTGAGACCACCACTCAAGGTGAGATTGGTTTGCCTCCTTCCCTTCCCCACGAGCTCAGCAGAGCTCTAGCATGAGGAGAATCTCAAACCTGCCCCTCTTTACTCTGTCCCTCTTCAGGACTGGATGGGCTGTCTGAACGATGTGCCCAGTACAAGAAGGATGGAGCTGACTTTGCCAAGTGGCGTTGTGTGCTAAAGATTGGGGAACATACTCCCTCAGCCCTTGCCATCATGGAAAATGCCAATGTTCTGGCCCGTTATGCCAGCATCTGCCAGCAGGTGGGACTGGACTACATGGGCTAGCTTTCTGTCCATCTGCCAGGATATCTACCTCCTCCAGAGCAACTGTTAATAGATACCTACCAAGCATCAGGCTTGCTGGTGGAGGCCACTCTGCAAAGCAGTGATGGGAATTGGCATGAAGGGGGAATTGTTTGTCCCCTGTAATCTGCTGAGGCCTTTGAAGCCTTGATTCACTATCCTCAAGATAAGATCTTGGCTAATGATGGTGGAGAGCTGTAGGTGGGGTTCCCAGTCAGGAGTCCTCACACTACCCTTTACCTCCCCACAGAATGGCATTGTACCCATTGTGGAGCCCGAAATCCTCCCTGATGGGGACCATGACTTAAAGCGCTGTCAGTATGTAACTGAGAAGGTAGGTTGCCTGTCTTTCTAGCCAGGGTAATGTGGTGGGCAGGGTTCCACTCAGGTGGTCCTTGTCCTTCATCTCACCTTGCCCTGTTCCAGGTACTGGCTGCTGTCTACAAGGCTCTGAGTGACCACCATGTCTATCTGGAAGGCACACTGTTGAAGCCCAACATGGTCACCCCAGGCCATGCCTGTACCCAGAAATTTTCCAATGAGGAGATTGCCATGGCAACTGTCACAGCACTTCGTCGCACAGTGCCCCCTGCTGTTACTGGTGAGGCCCACTCCCTTGGCTTGCTGGAGTGGATACACCATCACTTTGGCCTCTCCGGGTAGCTTTTGGCGGCTACTCCCTGCATCTATCTCTTAACGAAGGCCACCTCTTTCCTTCTGCCCTTGTTCTCTAGGGGTCACTTTCCTGTCTGGAGGGCAGAGTGAGGAAGAGGCATCCATCAACCTCAATGCTATCAACAAGTGCCCACTGCTGAAGCCATGGGCCTTGACTTTCTCTTATGGCCGAGCCCTGCAGGCCTCTGCTCTGAAGGCCTGGGGTGGGAAGAAGGAGAATCTGAAGGCTGCCCAGGAGGAGTACATCAAGCGAGCCCTGGTAAAGCATCATGCAAGGGGGGGTGTGAGCAAGTGGAGGGGACTTGGCTCTCACCTGATTTCTCTCTTCCCTTTTAGGCCAACAGCCTCGCTTGTCAAGGAAAGTATACCCCAAGTGGTCAGTCTGGAGCTGCAGCCAGTGAATCTCTCTTCATCTCTAATCATGCCTACTAACCAGAGGTGATCTAAGGCTGGCTGCCCCATCAACACTCCAGGCCCCTGCCTACCCACTTGTGTTCAAGAGGGGGCCTTCAGGCTCTTTCCCATCACTCTTGCCCTTGTGACTGTTGTGTGGTGTTGTCTCTGAATGCTAATTCTGCCATCCCATCCAGCCCACTGCCAATAAACAGCTATTTAAGGGGGGAGTCTGTTGTCCATGTCTTATAGGGGATACGGGAGGCCTGAGGAGAGAGCCTTATTTTGGGTTCTTCCTTTCTGGGTAGTTAAAAGGATGCAATAAGGCTTTGTTGATCTGTATACTTTTGAGGAAGGCTGAGTATTGTGAAATGCTCTAACCACATCTAATTGAAAGGGAGTGATCTGCTGGAGTTATAGGCATAGGGCACTGAGCCTATTTGGCTGGGAGCCAAGCCTGGGTTTTGTGAATGCTAGGCAAGGACTCTGCCACTGAGCGACACCCCTCTCTCTCATTCCTAATTTAGGCTTTGTTATCTTGCCCAAGATGAAACTTTCTTGGTGGGAACAAAGCATTTAATAAACGTAGCTATTTTCCCATTGCAACAGGAAATGGAATTACCAATGGCTTTTTAGGAGCCTTTGAAGACTCAATCTTCTCCCACGCAGATATAGGTACACACAGAACTCAGGTACACAACTGCAGAATTCAGGTTTCGGGTTAAGGACAGAGCAGAACAAGGCCCCCCCCCCACCAAACTATGGACTACCCAATGTTGAGTGTTGCCTGAATGTTTGCGTACAATGTGTGCCTGATGTCCTTGGATCCCAGAAAAGGGTATCAGATCCCTTGGAACTGGAGTTATGGTTGAGAGCCACCATGTCGGTGCTAGGAATTGAACATGGGCCTCCTGGAAGAGCAAAAGGTACTCAAAAGTGTTCAGCCCCATCATACCTCTAGTAATTTAAAGTTGTTGAAGATTATAGGTATAAACGGGGACTTGTTTTAGTCTTAACCATTTAGTTTTCTGTGGTTTCTGTAACCTTCCTGGTCTGAATCTTTTCTGTTCTATTTCCCTTTCAAAATATTTTTCCTTTTCACACTTTTCTATGCACAGAATAGTCTTTGGAGTATCAAAAGTCTGCTGTCCACATCTTTCTATGTATGGCCTATAGCCCAGTGGTTGAACACTTGCCTGTCATCCATCTGGTTCTAATTTAATTCTGGGAAACAATCTTTCTGTTTGGGATCTCTCTCCTATCCCTCCCCCCCAGGGTTTCTCTATGTAGCTCTGGCTGTCTATAGACCAGGGTGGCCTCAAACTCAAGAGATCCACTTGCCTCTGCCAGGATAAGGTGTGGGCCACCATCCCTTGGCTTCTAGAAAACACATAAAAACATGTTCAAAATTGAGGGACGGTAAAAGACATTCCAAAGGGGAGTATGATGTTCAAAAGTGTAAATTAGGAAGATTAAAAATCAGGCTACTCCATCAAAAGATTAAGGAATCAGAAGACTTTCAATGTGAATTTGGAGAGTGTTAGGTCTTTTTTGTATTGCTCTGAGTTTCAGAAAGTAAATGAAAGATGAGAACCACTTTTCCTGGGTTCACATTTGATCCTTGGTTCAAACACCAAATTTTTAGCTTTTCAATTTAGCAATTTAACCTGAGCCACCAACACCCTGAAGGAGTATGATCAGACAATAGGAAGTAATGTTGGGTGTGATTGTGTAACACCTGTAATCATAGCACTTGGGAGGCCCAGATGAGATTTGCTGTGTGTTAAGGTCAACTGCAAATTTTGGGCCATCCTGAGTTACAATGCGACCCTGTCAAGAAATAGATAATAGACTATTCTGGAATTAGGGAATCTTAGAAACAAGCTTGATGTGGGGAGAGTAGGTACTTTTTTTTTTTTTTTTCCAATTAGACCCCCTGTGGGTCTTGGAGATCCAATTTAAGTCAGTTAGGCTTGGTGACAGGCAGTCCTTGGTGTCAAATATGCTATTTTGGTGGGTTTTGGTTTTGTTTTTCCGAGCGGTTACTATGTAGCTATGAGACCCTCAAATCCTCGGTCCAGCCTCAGCCCCCTGAATGCTGGGATTACAAATAAATGTGCCACATACCTGGCCCAGGTTCTGAGTTCCCATGGCAAAGGCCCATGGCAAGATACTTGGCTAGGGTTGGCCCATTCATTTTGGACTATACATGTCTGCAATGCTTAGCCTTATTCTAAACACTGGGAAAGCAACGATGAACTGAGCAGTTCACTTCTCAGATCTGTAGTAGGAGCAGGACAGAAAGTCAGCAAGAGAAAGTGCAATGTGAGATGACAAGCTTACCAGAGCTCACGTCATTTGGCGTACATAACTGACGCAGAGATGCTTGCCTACCAGACCCGGTCGCCCGCCCACTTCCGACTCTTTAGTTCCTCCCGTGCGCCGCGAGAGGGGCGTGATCGGTATATGTCACTTCCGGCGCGCGACCGATCTGGCCTCCCTTTGCTTCCGCGGCGAGGCCGGAAGTAGAAGCGACGGTGGCGGAGGCCCAAAGCGGAGGGAAGTGGGGAGTCGGAGAGACCCAGCCGGAGTCCTAGCGGCGGTAATTGTCCGAGGCCCCTCTAGGCCACCGTCCTTAGCGCGGGCCCGCGGGGTTCGACGGGAGTGGGCGGGGTGCTGCCAGGGCATCGGGACGCCGAGGGTCCTGGACCGCCGTGAGGGGAGGGGGGGGCGGTCCTAGAATCGAGTCCCCCCTCCCGCACGGACCCTCTGATTGGCGGGCTCGCCTTCGCCTTTCCCAGGAGACCCCTGTGCGGTCCGGAGGGGGCGGCGGCCCCGACTCTGACCCGCGCCGGGGGGTGGGCCATGGCGGAAATCAGCGACCTGGACCGGCAGATCGAGCAACTGCGGCGCTGCGAGCTCATCAAAGAGAGCGAAGTCAAGGCCCTCTGCGCGAAGGCCAGGTGAGCCCGCAGGTCCGCAGGAGAGAGGCCGGCCCGTCGCCCACGGGTTTCCGGCTGGGCACACTCAGCTGAGAACTTAGGGCTTGTCCCATCCCGGAAGCATTCCCGGAGAGGAGCGGTCCCGAGGGCCACTTCTCCCCAGGAACCACGGGTCGGCTGTAGATACGTTTCTAGTGGAGTCAGAGTGAGTGGCAAAAAGTTCTTAGGAAAGTTAGGAAACCCGGCCTGCTCTACTGGGGCGAAAGAGAAAGTTTCTTGGAGAGCTTGAGTTCTGGGACCGACCTTGAAGAATAAGCAGGTTCAAGAAAACAAACAAACAAGAAACCTCGTGGTTTGTAAAAGTCTATCAGTCCTTAAAGATTAGGTGGTTTTGTGCTCACTTTAACAAGCAAGGGCTATAATGGTTCAGAATTGCCAGCAAGGAGGAATGGGATCTGAAGCTGGTTCTCTGAGTGCTGATCCTTTAAGTTGTGATTCAAGAAGTAGTTGGGTCACTCTCATGTTCCGTTGGGATCCTAAGGAAAACACAGTAAACTAGAGTAGAACATAATGAGTTCCTTCCACACCAGCTTGGTTTACTGAGTGAGGATGTTCAGTAAAATGGTTGTGAATATTCATTCAGTGAATCTCGGCTTGAAGCATGGTGTTTGGGTAAGTCATGAAGTGGTAATATTTATGGTGGGAAGGGCACACTAATGGTGTATTTGTGGATTGACGCTCTTGGGCTTCTAAAAGAGGGTAGTCCTTGAAAGATAAACTCTAGCTGAGGAAACACAGGGACAAGGAACCTTCAAGCAGGGTAGAAGTAAAAGGGAAATATGTAGGCAACAGTTAAGGCTTGTTACCTGCCTTTTCTGGGAACTGTCTCAGTGTGGCTTCTACCCTGTTTAATAGAACAGTATCATAGTTCTTACCCTTCCCCTCCAATCCTTCGAGGCAGGAGGGAGAGGTGTGCGAGTGTGCGATCGAGGGTATCTGTGTGTCTGTGTTTCCTCCCATGTAGCCCTAGCTGGCCTTGAACTAGGCTGGTCTTGAACTCAAAGCAATCAGTGTGCGCTGGGAATCTCGGAATATGCCTGCCCCAGTGCTGGCTGCCCCATGGCACCAGCCCTAACAAACCTTCCGTGCTGCGTTGGCCTGTGTGTGAGCTGCAGTGTTTATGCTACACTTGCCAAGCTTGGGTTTAGAAATGGAGGACTGCTGAGATTGGACATCAGGAACTACCAAAGGGATTTTGAGAAGTAGTCACACTACAAGAACTAGAGCCAATTCCATAAGCTGTGTGTTCATGGTGTGCTGTACAGTCCTTTAATTCCAGCACACAGGAGGAAGAGACAGGCAGATCTCTTGAGCTTGAGACTAGCTCGGCCTAAACATCAAGTTCCATTCTAGCCAGGGATACAGAATGAGATCCCGTCTCCAAAAATAAATAAGATTTATTGTTTACAAGGAAGGAGCAGCACAACCCTTTGAAAAAGTGTATCCGATTGGTAGGGAGTGAGGTCAGAACTCAGCCTAGGGACAGTCAGTGCTCTAAGAGAAAAGGACAACCCTCCCAGAGTGTGTGCTGTACTTTTGAGAAGGAACCACAGGGTGAATCAAGGCTGGATATGCCCCAGCCTGCTTGGAAGGGCTTGAATAGGAGTTGGGGTGGAAGTGAGAAATTGGACTTTGTCCAGTTGGCAGCAGGAAGCCATGAGCAGGTATTGAGTGGTAGAGGGCCATGGTCAGTGCTTTCTGACCAGATTCATGGGGAAGTGCATACTTCCTTCTGTCCCCTGGAGGTTCAAGGACTACCTCATGTCCTCCCTCCCTCCAAAAAAGGTCAGGAATTGGGCTGGGCTGGCCTGGCTGTGGTGACCCTGGTCTTCTCCTGTCTCCAGAGAGATCTTGGTAGAAGAGAGCAACGTGCAGAGGGTGGACTCGCCAGTCACAGTGAGTACTCTGTCTCTTGGACCCTGACTTGGTCTTTTAAGACACATGGAAATCCTAAGTGGTGTAACAGCCCCCCACCTCTAAGTTAATGAGAGGCTAGAACACCCCAGGTATCTTGCTTCTCAATCATCTGGTGAGCCCTGATGCAAGAATTAGATAGTGGCACAGATCTTGTAATTTAGTGATGGAATGTTTCCCCAGTATATATGAGGTCTTGAGTTGTGTTCTATGTGCCACAAGAAAATAAAAGATGCTGTAGGAATTTTGGTTTGTCCTGGTGACGCTCGCAGCCAAGGCAGAAGAAGTTTGTGGATCAATAGCCCTGTTAGTAACTGTGCTGAGCACATAGAGGCAAATGGATGAAGCCAGTCTTCCTGAAGCTGCAAGTCTGCCTGCAAAGACTCTTCTGCACCATAGCAGTTGGCTTTTGGTGTGATAGATGACACCAGAACAGGCTCACTTGGGTTAGAGAGGGAATTTGGGTCCTGAGATGGGGTGGTGTCACCCTGGCTGGCCTGGAAAGTAACATGTGTTTTGAAGGATGGTGTCTGGGAATAGAGGGACTGTGCCTTTGTCCACTCTTTCAACCCACATTCTTTCTTTCCAGGTATGTGGTGACATTCATGGACAATTCTATGACCTCAAGGAGCTTTTCAGAGTGAGTGGGGGGATACTGGGACTTTGAACCTAGGGTGACAGAAAGCCATGATCATTGATAGGTCTTAGGCTGCATGGTCTGTGGGTGAGAGAAGGGGCTCAGCTAGACTCTGGTTGCTGTAGCCAGAGAGGATAGTTTGGGGCCAAGCAGAGTCGTATCCCTCCTCCCAGGTAGGTGGCGATGTCCCTGAGACCAACTACCTCTTCATGGGAGACTTTGTGGACCGTGGTTTCTACAGTGTTGAAACCTTCCTCCTCCTGCTGGCTCTTAAGGTGAGGACTCTTGGCCCCTGGAGCCTGAGCTTTGGCCACTACTTGCTGCCCTCATCACCTTTCCTGTCACCTACCTTGGAACTTTGCTGTGGCTGTGGACTGTGTGCTTAGCGGGGCTAGTCAGGACTGCTGCCATGAGTGGGGCCATCTCCTGAGCCCTTACAGAAGAGGCTGGTGATGTGAGTTTTGGAAAGCAGGCAGAGGCTGTGTGTTCAGGGAGCAGCAGGAGTTAAGTGAACTGGGAGAAGTCATAGTGAAGGGCCACATGGGGTGAGTGTGGGGTGCTAAGGACAAGAGCCGGAGTCTGGCAGGTGCTTCTGGAAAAGGCTCTCAGGAGCTTGTGAGGCAGGGACACCATGATTTATGTAAGAGACTGCGGGAGTCTGGGCCAGGCAGAGGACTGAGTGAGGCTAATGGATGTCTTGGAGACTTGGGATGGTTAAGTGGGAGGTAGAGACTAGAACCAGTTCTTGCTTGGTGCTACCCCTAGGTTCGATATCCTGACCGCATCACTTTGATCCGGGGCAATCATGAGAGCCGCCAGATCACCCAGGTCTATGGCTTCTATGATGAATGCTTGCGCAAATATGGTTCAGTGACTGTATGGCGCTACTGCACTGAGATCTTTGACTACCTCAGCCTGTCTGCCATCATTGATGGCAAGGTAGGTTGGCCCTGGATCTCCTGGGGGGAGGGGGAGGCTGTGCTGGGTCTCTGGGCTTTTAGTTCCTTCTCTCTGGTATCATTCTCCCTTCTAGATCTTCTGTGTGCATGGGGGCCTCTCCCCTTCCATCCAGACCCTGGACCAGATCCGGACAATTGACCGAAAGCAAGAGGTACCCCATGATGGACCCATGTGTGACCTCTTGTGGTCTGACCCTGAAGGTGAGGGCAATACCTGAGCTGGCTCTCCGTGTGTCTTGTGAAGACTGGATTAAGCAAGTGTATGAAGGGAAGTCAGGCAGGGAAGAGGAGGGCAAGTTTGGCCTGTACTGGCTTCTGCCTTCTCCTTGTGTGACTGGATCCTCCTCAAGGAGCAGAAAGCATGAATGGTGGTGCACTGAGGCCTACTGTGGGTTGGCTCATGAGTTTCATGGCTTAGAGGGTCTGTTCAGGATGAAACCCTTGGCTCCCTGGGGGGAAGAGGTCATAGACCTTGACAGTAGCTTCTTTGGAGGTGAGACCCATTCCCTTAGAACGAAGACCTCTGACGGTTCCTTATTTTGTGTGGTTCCCCTCTAGTTAGGGGCGGAACTGAGGTTTAAAGCCTGGCTTTCTGAGTACCAGTCCTAAGCATACTCTCTAATTCCACCACTGTTACTGCAGTCTGCGTCATGTGGCATAAGGTGACCTTACTGCCAGGAAAGTGGTTGGTCATGGCTGGTGCTCTGGGTGTGAGCACTTCCTATCACTTGAGTGCTGCTTGAACAGCACATTGTATGTTATGGCCACTGTGATGAGGAGGTAGGTCCCAGCCATGAAGCCATCTTTCTCCTCGGAGTGCCTCTGCTCCAGTATTTACTATCCTATCTTCCAGGGTTCCCTAGAACAAGCCTCTGGTTGATGAGGGGAAGAGGCACAGGCTTCTAATTCTGTGGTATAGTAGTCAACCAGAGGACCCCACACATTGTCCTTGTCTTGTCTCAGACACAACAGGCTGGGGAGTGAGCCCCCGTGGGGCAGGCTACTTGTTTGGCAGTGATGTGGTGGCCCAGTTCAATGCAGCCAATGACATTGACATGATCTGTCGCGCCCATCAATTGGTGATGGAAGGTTACAAGTGGCACTTCAATGAGACCGTGCTTACTGTGTGGTCAGCACCTAATTACTGCTACCGGTAAGCTGGCAGGACCAGGAGCCGGGGTAGGGGTAGGGGTAGGGATGTAGGCCAACTGTTGCTAACTGTGCTGTTCCTAAATCCAGCTGTGGGAATGTGGCAGCCATCTTGGAACTAGATGAGCATCTCCAGAAAGATTTCATCATCTTCGAGGCTGCACCACAGGAAACACGTGGCATCCCCTCCAAGAAGCCGGTGGCTGACTATTTCCTGTGACTCCTAGGCCCCAGCCCCTCTGGCCCTTGGACCACTGTGACTGCCCTCTGCCCAGTCGGAGGCCGGGTGTGGAGGGGCTGCCTGGCTTTGCTTGCCCTAGGGTGCGGACTGCTCTGGAGAGGTTGGGGCCTCCACTCCAGGCTTCCTCTCCTTTCTCCCATTTGATCCTTGAAGTTTCCAGTCATTTTTTTTCCTTTTTTTTCTTTTGTTTTGTTTTTAGATAAACATTTTGAGAAAAAAAAGAAAAAAAATTCTAATAAAAGAAGAAAAATAGTCTTGAGGGTGTTCTGTTACGTTTGACTAGGCCCTGAGGTAGACAAGGAGCCCTGTCCTGCTTGTCCACTAGCCCGGAGCCTTTAGGCTCCATCTGGTGATCTTTCCCAAAGGCTTGCTTAGTACTGGGTAAAAGTGAGGTTCCAGGACAGCCTTTATTCTTAAAACAACCATTGTGAAGAGATTTACCCATCCCCCTGAAGGGGGACATGCGCAGAGCAGGCTGCTTCACAGCCACAAGGGCAAGCATCTGGAAACTCTTGGGTCTGCCCTCAAAGCTGTGGCTCCCCAGCCCCACCCAGGGCCAACACCATTAGCCCAACGTTTCCTGAGCACTAATGTCTTTTGAGTTTTATTAACAAAAATACTCTGATCCTGAGAACAAGCTGGTGTGGCTTACACCAGTGATGAGGCCCCTGGGAGGTGGGGGCACGGGGCTGAGGCCCCCATTTGGCCAGGCAAAGTCTTCCCTCCATTCACACTGAGGTGAGAGCTGAGAAGGGGAAGCTGGCCCCAGCTGGATTCTGAGCAGCTTTGCCTGAGCTTTGAAGCCAGAGGGGGTGGAGTGAAATCAAGGTGTGAACTAAGGGGTAGAGGAGAGGCCCAAGGCAGCCATTTGGTGGGGGGGGGAGGGGGCACCACTTGAATGAGGGTGCTACCAGGCTGGGGGAAGGGAGCTGGAGATATTAAAGGGAAGATGGCATAGGCCCCGTCTTGGCTTACTATATCATGGCTCAGTACATTGGCTTGGATCCCATGTCCAGATAACCTCCAGGTCCTGGGTATGGTAGAGGGAAGGGGCCCCCTTGAATGAAGTGTGGGGCAAAGGGTGTTACAGATGGAGCTGTGTGATAGGCAGAGCCCCCTGGTCCAGGCTGTAGCTCCAGGAATGCAGCTGAGTAGGGGGCTGGGCGCCCAGGGTCTGGAGCCTCAGGGAAGCTGGGGTTCCTGAAGTCAGGAGAGAGGTATCAGAAGAGGAGAGGCACACCTCCTCCTACAGCGCCCAGCCCTCTGCCTCTGTGCACCTTACCTGGCTGGTAAGTGACTGGGGACCCCGTGGAAAGCTGCAGGGTGCAGGAGGTAGGCCTCAGCACTGGGACCACCGCATGGAGGGGCTGTGGCAGAAGCAGCTTCCCGGGGGGCTGGGGTCTGCTCTGGATCTGAGTCTCGAATGTCCCCACCCAGGGTGGAGTCACAGGGCCCCCCTGGTGTATCTGAGGAGGCAAAAGGCACATGTTAGCTGGGGAAGGCTCAATGTCTCAAGTTTGGCCCCATCGCCATCAGGACAGCACTCACCCCCACTCCCACAGGCCTCTGTGGCCACTGGCTCTGGGCCCTGAAGTTTCCTTTTCACACGGGCATCTCGCTCCCTGGGGAATGATGATGATGATGATGATGATGGTGGTGATGATGATGGCACTAATAGTACTTACCAGGTGCCAGGCATTTCACCCTCCCAGGCACCCTGTTGAGCAGGTGCTATATTATACCCATTTTACAGATAAGGAACTGAAGGCCAGAAAATAAAGCCACTAAAAAGCAGCAGAGCTGAGGTTTCTCTCTGACTTGGATGTGGTTTTTCCATGCTTTCCTCCTTGGGCATTAGGATCTGAGAAAGCACCTTTCCAGTTGCAAAGGCCAGGTCCTCTGTCTGCCACAGCACGTCGTTCTGGAGACTTTCTGCATCTGACTGTGCTTCTTTCCATAGCATCACACACCTCCCTCATGGCATGTCACTGTCTACATTTGAGCCAGTGAACCAGTCACTCTGCCTTCTGGGATAGACTAGAGGCTCTCCCAGGGCCTAGGGCAACTCCCAGGGCTGTATTCAGAGCCCACACCCAAGTCTTTGATTGGTAAGCAGTGATCTGGCTTCCGATCACATCCCTGAGTTGCCTTTCACTCTTGTGCCTCACTGTAGTATGCTTGTCCTCTGGGCCTTTGCACTTAGGCTTTGCCAGACACCCACATTTTTCTCAGATGTCCTCAGGGGTGCCTTTTACTTGCCACTTCCCCCCAGTCCTTCCTACACTTCCCATGCTTTCTGCTCACTAGAACTTTACAGGCTTCTCTTGCTTATGTCTGCATTGACTGAATGAGGACTGACAGTCCGTTGAATCAAGAGTGGACAAATGTTTTTACTTACCATCATGTTCCTGGTGCCCTGGCACAGTGCCTGGCACACAGTAAGCAATTAGTAAACACTCATTGAATGATGCCCACCTCTTACAGTTTCTGCCATTCTCTCGGAAACCTTTGGCAAAGGGGTTGGCTGCAATCTTCAGCTGTGTGATCTGAGGACACACATCCAGGTCAAGGGTCCTGTAGCCTGGGCAGGGCACGGCCCCTCCCTCAAGCAAGGTCACTCACCCTAGGGTTCTGGTAGGCTGTCACAGAGATGAAGGTGGTCTCTGGGAATCGGAAGGAGGCCACACCCCCCCAGTGTTGGCTGCAAAGCTGGGTGGCCCTCACCAAGTGGATTCGAGGCTGGTACTTGTGCATGGAGTGCAAGATCAGCTGAGAAAGAAGACATGGGGTGACTCCCCTGCTGAGCCCCAGCCTTAGCCTTCCACCCAGCACCACCCTAAAACCCGGTCAAGGAGTCCCAGCCTGGGCCTCACGTGGCCATGGGGGTCCAGCGTGCTGTTGGTGAGCTTAACACGATGGAAGGATACTGGCTGCCGCATCCAGTGGGCGCCCGTGGCAGGGGAGTCAGGGTGGATGTAGACACGGTCAGGCAGGCGGGGCTCAGCCTTGCCACTAGGCTCCCAATGCTGGCCCTGCCATCTGTACCGAGCCCCATCCACTGGAACCACATCCAGAAGGAACAAGTAGCGGGCCTCCGGGTCCAGGCCAGTGACTGACACTCGGCAAGCAGGGAACATGCGCCTGCACAGGAGAGGGAGGAAGGAAGAGGCCTAGAGCTACCCACTGCCAGAGCTGAGCCCAGCACCAGCAAAGAACTAGCAATAGAATAGCAGTTTTAGACGGTAACTGCAAGGGAGGTGTAATTGGATCGCCAAGTGCAGAATCTAAGAACTGGGAGACTTATTCCATTTTACAGATGGGGAAATGGAACAGACAGGTTAGGGGCTCCGACAGGCCCCAGCAGGTTCATCTCCCTGCCCCTTCACTCTTCACTCTAGTTACAACATGGCACAATCTCAGAGCCCTTGCCACTTCCTGCCCAGGCTCCTGACCCCTGTCCCTTCAAACTCTACAGAGACAAAGGTGACTACCCTTTTTCCTGAAGCCCGAGGAGCCTCTTGCCCTCATCTAGGTGCAGCACTGACCCCTGTGGCTGCTAAGACCAACTTTCTTCAGAAATAATAGGTGCTGTGCCCTGGGGACAGGATTTATCTAGGGTTCAGGCCTTAGAGACCTTGCCGATGCTTTCTCTAGGGCTAGCTGGGATTTAGCCACATACTGACCTGGATCCTAGATAGACTTTCCTGACACTGGTCACTGGCAGGTCCTTGCTCCTTCTCATAGACTGTTTCTGAGTTAGGCCATGTGCCAACCTATAACCTATCCAGACTTCCTTGCCCCAACCCCAGACTGACTTCTCTGACCCTTAATAGAATGGCTCCCAAACCCAGCCACAGACTCCAGACTGATCCTTGAACCTGGATATAGTGTAACTCCTGTCTACCCAGTGTCACAGATAGTGCCAAGCCACAGTCAGATTCTGCGCTCTGTGACCCTTAATAGAATGGCTCCCAAACCCAGCCACAGACTCCAGACTGATATTTGAACCTGGATATAGTGTAACTCCTGTCTACCCAGTGTCACAGATAATGCCAAGCCACAGTCAGATTCTGCGCTCTGGTTGTACTAGCCCTGGAAAAACCCCTAAACATAGCTCTATCCCCAGGAATTCTGTCTTTTCTAGAAACTGACGTGGCCACCCCTCACCTGCCAGCCTTGGTGATGATCATCTCTGTCCCCACAGCGCTGAACTCCTTCCACAGCTCCTGGTTCTCCAGGCTCAGACTGACCCCAGGAATCGAGTGAAGGGCCTCTGAAGGTGGTGGTGCTGTCTCGGGGCCCAGAGAAGATGGCAGAAGGGGCAAAGGAGGGGGTGCAGACAGAGTATGGGGAGCTGTCTCAATCCCAGAGAGGAAGCAATCCAGTTTAGAGGTATCCAAATCTGGAGACGTGGAAAGAATAAGGATCCAGGAGAGGGCCACATATTCCCAGTCTCCTGCCCCCCTACCCAGAGCCAATCCAACCGCTCACCAGGGTAGCGGTAGCCCTCGGTCAGGGCAGGTGGGAAGCTAGAGTCTGTCCCAGACTGGGGGTGTCCCAGACGGTAGCCAGTCCCCAGGGAGGGGTACAACTCTCGTGGATGGTACATGTTGTTTCTTCTGGCCTTGTGTCCCGTTGCTAGAGTCCAGGGTCTAAGAGATGCCCCCTTTATAGCTCACAGCACAGCCCCTTCCAAACCAGAGATCACAGCCCCACCCCTCCCTGGGGCCCTGGAGGTGGGTTGGAATGGAGACCCCTGGGGCCTCGAAGGGGGTCCAAGAGGGGGCCGGATACCTGGGTACTCTCCCCTCTCCCTCACGACTTCACTAGTCCCGACCCCCTGCCCCCTCATTACATAATTAACTCCTCGGCCTGATTGATCCCTACGGCTAAGACAGGGATGCAGTTTGGCGCTTCCGGCCAGCTGGTCTCTGTTCCCACGGAGGGGGGAGCCCTGCTGGGGGCAGGGGTGGGATCTGGATCCTGGTACGAAGTCTAGGATCCCTGTTTTGATCCCAAAGCCCCAGACTTTCTGGAAGATGACCCCTCTGTTTTCTTTACTTGGAGGACCACCCTTGCGAAGTGAACTGGAGGACAAGGGCAGGGTTGGTGTCTGGGTTGATAGCCCGACGCTGGATAACCACAAGAGTCCGCAGCAGAGGGCTAAAGTCTAGAGTTCTCATTGGTTTATAGTCTGAAAAACTTCCAAGTCTCAAAAGTTGAAGGGCACAGCTCCAGTCTGTGGTATCTTGTGCTAGGTGTAAGGTTTCGCACCGATAAACACTTTAACTACATTTCCCAGTAAGCACTGCGGCAGACGCACACAAAAGCCACTGACAGACTGTGCTGGGGCTGCTGGGAATTGTAGTCCACACTGGGCTCGTAAAGCCAGAAAAGTGGTGGCGTTCCTGAAGCTGCCTTCTACACACTAAAGCCAGGACATACATTGGCAAGAGGTCGGGGGCTAGACCAGTTTAGCCTACTGTTTCTATCCCATCACCCCTGCTGAGGCTCAGAATGGAACCTGTCTATAGGAAAGGAGCCTGCCTGGGTTCTAAGTCCCCTTCCTGTATTCCATGTGAGCCAAGGGCTGTCTCCATTCCATTGTTTTATTATTTACAAACGCTACAGAACGAGAACAGACACGCTGCAGGTAGGAGGGATCCAGTGGGAGGAGTTCACAGAAAGATAGTGCACCGGGGCCATGAGAGCAGCACACAGGCCATATCTATGGGACAGGCAGGACAGGAAGGGGTTAAAAAATGAGATCCAAGCCAGCCAGATCGCAGGAAGGTGTTGGGGGTGCAATTCCCCTCCTAACCTCCCCCCAAGGTCACAGTGCATGCAATAAAATATATGTACAGGAGCTGGATCCTTCCCCTGTGGGGACCCTGAGGGTCCAGAGCTCCCTTCAGGAGGAGCGAAACCAGTGGCTCCCCCTGGCGGCCAGGCCAGGATGAGGTCAGTCCCAGCCGTTGTCTTTGATCATGTGGTTGAGTTCAATGATGTACTTCCCCTCTTTGTATTTCTGGCTGCTCTCAAAGGCTTGCTCCTGAAAGGAGAGAAAGAGATGCCATCCATGGATAAGACTTTTACCATTAGGCAATGGGGTTGAGAAATGCATGTGATTTATCTTTTTTATATATGAAAAAAACTGTGGCCTGGAGAAGCCCAGCTACCTGCCCACAAACACACAACTAAATGGCAGGGCTGTTTCTTACCAGGAATAGAATCATTGGTACCTTTTGAACATTAATGACAGCTCCAACAGGAAGGATATGGAAGTACCTAGAAGACCTCACAGTCCAGGGATTGCAAACTGGTGGCCTAAGGGCCATTTCAGCCTACAGTTAGTTTTGTATAGATAGAAGAGAGCTTAATCTAAATAACTTTAGGGGTTTGCGATGCTTAGCTTGTGGGAGGGCCTGGATTTGATACGAACACCATATTTACAAAAAAAATTTAAAAAAACAAACAAAAAACACAATAAAACTTACATACCAAACTACAAATATACAAGCTCACTCCATTTTACTCCAGCGTACTTTCCCTGCTCTAAATCTATGCTACCCATTTACAAATACACAGTAACTGCTTGGGCTTTCCTGACATTTGACGGTTTTTGTTGTTTCTTGAGACAGGGTCTATGTAGCCCTAGCTGTCTTGGAACTCACTATAAATACTAGATGGGCTTAGAACTCAGAGATCACCTGCCTCTGCCTCCTGAGTGCTTGGATTAAGGGCATATAACACCACATCCTGCTGACATTTGAGTTTGTTTGTTTTTCAAGACAGGGTTTCTCAGCTGGGTGTTGGTAGCGCATGCCTTTAATCCCAGAACTTGGGAGGAAGAGGCAGGCAGATCTCTGTGAGTTCAAGGCCAGCCTGGTCTACAAGAGCTAGTTCCAGGACCGCCTCCAAAGCCACAGAGAAACCCAGTCTCGAAAAACAATAAAAACAACCAACCAAACAAAAAAGACAGGATTTCTCTGTGTAGCCCTGGACCTCATTCTGTAGACCAGGCTGGCCTTGAACTCAAAGAGATCTGCCTGCCTTTGTCTCCTGAGTGCTACCACTGCCCAGCTGACATTAAAGTTTTTCGTTTTCTTACAATTTATTTGTTGATTGAATGTATACAAGTGCTCTATCTGAATATACATCTTTAAGCCAGAAGAGGGTATTAAATCCTACTACAGATGACTGTGAGCCACCATGTGGTTGCTGGGAATTGAACTCAGGACTTGTGGAGGAGCAGCTAGGGCTCTTAATCTCTGAGCCATCTCTCCAGCACCAACATTTGAGTTTTTAACCTCTGGTCTAGGCCACATTTCTGGGAATTTCAGAGTGGCCAAGCCACCTGTGCAGGGACACACAGAAAATCTGTGGCAGGGCCAAAGGTAAAGTCAAGGTTAGGACTGTCTGTCTCTGACTGGGGCATCTAGCTCACAAGAGCCACTCCAAGTAATGTCTTGCCCAATTCCTTGTACATTCCTAAAAACATCCCCTTTGCAGCTACATCTAATCTGATCCTCATGAAGATCTTCCACACCAGGTAGTGGCTTTGTGCTCCAACGCCAGATAAGGAAATGAGACTTGAGGCTGTGAAATCAGATGCTAGATAGCATCAGAAGCAATGTGAGCTGTGCACAGGAGATCTGCGGACCTAATTTCCACGTTGCTGCAGGGTCTTAGTCCTGTGATCTTGGGCAAATGCCCTAACATCTTCAGACCTCCCTGTCTTCTCGAATAGATTCTGCCATCAGAACCATTGTAATGACTGAATGAGAGACCTATAGGCCAAGTGTGTTCATGGGCATGGCATATACGCATTCAATAAATGCTGACTCTACTGGCTCTTCATGTCTAGGATAGGGCCATTAGAAGACCAACATCCTCAAAGCTCTGTAGAATGCAAGAGACCAAAGCCAATCCATGGGGGAAAACAGTCCATTCTGCTGTGCTGGGCCAGTTCTACTTTGAAAGGTGTCTGCTTTCCAGGAAGACGGGATGTGAAGTTAGGTCAAAGGCCAGCCTGGGGTCAGAGATCATGAACTCACATATTTCCAGCCCAAAGTGGTCTTGCAGTTCTCGCAGTGGATGTCAGCGACAGCATGAAGACCTGTCAGCAGCACCCGCTCCTCTGCTGGCCCGCAGCCCACATTCACCCTGTAAGGACAAAGGGTAGTCCTAGGGAGGGTCTTAGCAGCCCAGAGCCCCCCACTAGCTAGTATGGTCAGTGTCTGTTCTTAGCCTCCAAGAGAGGCCTGATCATGGCTTCCTGCCTGAAACAAGGGACTCTGGGAAGCTCGGCTTGATGCCAGGAGTCACAGGTCACAACAGAGGTCAGGAAAAGAAAGGAAGGAAGTGAATACTCACACAGAGTTGAAGAGGTAGGCACGCCCCTGACTGCCCTGGAAGGACTGGAGGGTAGTGGGAAGACGAGAGGAGGGGGTTAGGGCTATTGGTGGGGAGTTGCCAGGCAGCCCATTGCCATTCTAGACTCAGATGTGGCCTGCTTACCTTGGAGATGAGGTCGTCGTGGTTGGCCAAGTGGGCACGGCAGTGGGCACAGCTATACCTCCGGTGACAATCATCCAAGTAGGCCTGAAACGTCTTGGGCTTTGAAATCCGCACCATGGCGGGGGCCAAGGGCAGTGGCCCCACGCGGGGAGCGGCCCACGGCGAGCAGAGGGAGCCCAGTGCCTGTCAGGGAGGAGAGGTGGACTGTGAGGACCAAGGCCATACATATGTAGGCAAGCCCAGAACTATAGGGACTCTGTCACACTTGGCTGCTCTCTCCTTTCCCTAGAGCCAGCAGTCTCACCAGGGACCAGAGTCATCTCAGTTTTGACTCACTGAGGAGGCCTCAGGTTGCATCAGCGGGTAAACTGAGGCTAGGAGGAGCTCCAGGTGAGTCACCCACCTGCTTCTGGCCTCACCCCTGCTGAGCTGGCATCTGAAAAGGGAAGGGGCTTCTGAGTGGATGGGCTGCCAGTTTTCAGTTTTGAGGGAGTATGGGGGGATAAGGAACTGACTAGTCCTTGGGGCTCTATTTGGACTAGGGGCAGGGCAAATGTGGGGTACATGGAGTTCGCCTGGGGAAAGGGTCTCACACCTGGAGGCAGAAGGCCTCCCCAAAGGAGGAGGGTCTCCTAGGGAGAGGAGGGGCTTTTACCTGGAGGCGCTGAGCCTCATC